TGGCCTCCACCCGGACAGGCCGAGACGGGAGGGCACACAACGCACAGCAAGAGGGAGGGAGGACAGGGCCCCCCCACCACAACCCCCCGATGCTGAGAACAGATCAATCAGGAAACCAAAGGCCGTGCAGAGAGGAAACCCCTGGGCTGCCTGCGCACCAGCGGTAGGAGCCTGGTGCCGGACAAGAGGGACTGGAACTGGTGCGCAGAAGTTCAATCTGGCTGGTGTCCCTGGGAGCTGGTGGGACGGTTCCCGGGACTGGAACGTGGCAGCCCATGGCTACAGCCTGTTTAGGGAGGGGCTGCAGAGGAACAGAAATAGGTCACACCTGGCCCACCGGGTTTGGGCCGATCACTTAGCAGAAACCGAGGCTGGATCCATGTCCTGACAGATAAAGCGCAAGAGGAGCTGGCGTCTGCTACAGTCCCTCAGCTCACACCCGGGAACAGGCTGACCGCCTCGGTACGCTCCCGTCTATCGGTGGGTAGGGGGCAAACGCTGTGTGGATACGGGAGACTGGAATCTGAGCGACACACACGGCAGGGCTCACACTTAGCATCCTTGGGATTGCTAAATCCTCTGACCACTTCCTAACTCAAAGGCTTGCATCCAGCAGGGCGGGGGGAATTCTCTGTTACACCCCTTGACAGATAAAGAGCACTGAGGCTGCCTATACACAGCAGCGATATTTCGGAGTAACTGACATGCCCAAATAACAGAGCGCCTCTACACTGCAAGCTGGTATTTCAAAATAACATCGAGCTAGAGGACTTTCTACTCCGACTTCCGGACGCCTGTAACCCTCATTTCATGAGAAGTAAAGGAAGTTGAAGGAAGAGTATTCTACCTCGGACTTCCCGCTGTGTAGACATCGCCAAAAGCCGAATGAAGCTATTTCAACTTCAGCTATGCCATTGACTTTGCTGAAGTGGCATAGCTTAGTTCTGCTTTAGCCCTGTGGGGTAGACGTGCCCGAAAAGTGAGGTACAAGCGATCCTGATTTGATAACATTTTAAATGTTCAAACAGAATGAAGTCCAGATCTGTAATTATATAGTTGGTTCTTTAAAAGGGTCAGTTTCACAAAGATGAAAACTATTTTGAGCCGAGTCAGCTGGGAGGAAGAATTTAATCAGAAAAACGTGACTGATAAATGTGAATTGCTTAGCAACAACATCTTATTAAATGCTCAAAAAGCCACAATTGAGGAAAAAGCCCGTTGTGGTTAAAGAGAGATTTGATTTCAAAGGAAAGGGACGGCATCTATGTAAAATAAAAATATACATTCATAACAAATGGAAGAAAGGAAAAGTTGATAGCAATGAGCATAAATCAGAAGTTAGGAATTGTAGAAAATTGAAAAGGGAAGCAAAGGGACACAAGGAGAAATCTATGGCCAGCAGTAGTTAAGGACAACCAGCAGGAGGATTTTTTAAAAGTATATTAGGAGCAGAAAGAATTCTAAAAATGGAATTGATCAGAGGAAAATGATAGAATTATCAAACTATAATGAAGAGACCAAAGTGCCCAGTAAATATTTGTTCTGTATTTGGGATAAAGTAGATGGTGCATTCAGATGATAAAACGCTCCATCGCACAGGGATCTCAGGAAGATATTAAAGAGCAGCTACTAAAGTTAGACTTTTTAAGTCAGCAGGCCCAAACACCTTGCATCCAAGAGTTCCGAAAGAGCTGGCTGAGGAGCTCACTAGCCCTTTATGATGTTGGTTTTTAGTAAGTCTTGGAATCCGGGGGATGTTCCAGGAGGCTGGAAGAGCAAACCTGTGCCAGTATTTTAAAAGAGTAAACAGGATGAGCCAGCTACCTGCAAGAAATCTGACATTATTCTGAGGCAAGATAAGGGAACAACTGATAGGAGATTCCACTAACAAAGAACTAAAGGTGGGCAATCAAATTAACACCAATCTACACAGGTTTATAGAAAACAGATCCTGTCGGACGAATGCTATCCTTTTTTGTATAGCAGCACAAGTTTGGTTGATGCGGGTAATCGTGTTGACATTGTATATTTAGGCTTCTAACAGGTATTTGACTCGGTACTACAGGACAGTAAAGAACAAGACAGACATAAAATGAACAAGGCTCATATTAAATGGGTTAAAAACTGGCTAGCTAATAGATCTCAAAATGTAACTGCAAATAAGGAACCAGCCTCAGTCAGGTGTGTTTCCCGTGGGGTCCTGCAGGGATCCATTCTTGGAACGAGACTATTTAATATTTTTAGTAATGACCTGGAAGCAAGCAAAATCAGCACGGAGAAAGTTGGCAGGTGACCCCAAATGTGGGGGAGTGGTAAATGAAGAAGAGGACAGACCCTCAGCTACAGAGCGATCGGGATTGCGTGGTACGTAGGAGCCAAGCAACCAGTGCGTGTTTTGACACGGCTCACTGTAAAACGCGAGGAACAAAGAGCGCAGGCCAGACTTCCAGGCTAGGGACCTCGCTGTGTATCCCAAAAAGATCTGGTGTCTCCTAGCGCGACGCTGTGGCTAGGAGAGCTCATGCGATCCTGGGA